AGTCGGGTTAAAGTTAATGAGTAAACAAATCAAATAATTAAGGTTTTGAATACTTATAAGAAACTTTGAGTCACAAATTTACCGGTTACTTTAGACGTTTAGAGATCGCAATTCACACACGTGCTACCACGGCAAACGCAACTGACTTTCTAACTATGTTATTAATATCAACTTCGCTGTTTCTATCTTTCATCCCGCATTGCCGGATCTGAATTGAAAACCAAAATAAATTATTTTTCAAGCAATTATTATGTGTGGTATAAAGTCCTCTTTACGCCAGCTGAGCAATATTTGTAAACGTTAATAAACTTTACCGAGCGTTGTATTTGTTAAAAAGTGTCAATGCGATGCGATAGCCCCATTAACATTGAACCACAATAAATGAGCATTTTATATGTATATATGTACACGGCTTTATACGTCTCGGACAAATTTACGGCCGGACTAGCAGCCGATCTCGCGCCAAATCTACAAATTCAGTGTGTTTAGCTTGTGAAAATTTTTGGAATTTCATATTCATTCGTGAGTTATATGGCGATACGTGCAGAAAATCGCAGTGAACAAGTGATTTAAAAATCGGACTCTGAAATGACTTAAACACAGGCCTCAGAAATGCCGGTCGTTTTCCCATATATCCGTATAACGGTATAACTCGCGAACAAAGGCAAAATCGGAAAAAAATGTCACGAGTCACAACAGCAATTTTGGGAATTTGGTTAAACAAAGTTTCGTTCATATCTGTTCAGTAATTTTGTAGAAAATTCTCGATCACTGCGAATCTACGTATTCACGGTATTGACATCGCAGAGCCAGAACATAACAGATTGTTGCGGGCTCGAACTCGCAACGCGCCGCTTCAATTTTCGCTTTGCTTAGCTGCCCAGCCTTCTTGCCGATTTTTACCAGAAACTGTCGCACAGAGCTGGGATCAAACCAGCACCTCTCTGAACACCGTTTAACGTCTCGGACGAATTTAGTCGCCGTTTTGTATTAGTAGTTAGCAATGTATATGCAAAATTTCGTTCAAATTTGTTCAGTAGTATGGAAGAAACTTGGTTGAACTTGTATAAGGTTGACCCAACAGAAGCCCATTTTTGCGGATGTAGTTAGTTGTTCGCCTGTGAGGTTGTGTAGTTCGTTGACGCCTTGATTTCTGCGAATTTCGACCCGTACCGCCGTATAACTCAGGAATAAATGTAAAATAGAAAAAGTTCTCCATCTAAACATCGCAAACAGAGTTTCATCGAGCTGCGTTCATTAGTTTAGGAGATATTGTTTGATCATTGAATTTTGCAGACCGAACGATAGCCCGGCCGTAAAATTGTCGTGCCCGAGACGTTTCATAAGTGTGTTATCGACTCCGGCGCAATCTTACAAAGCTAGCTAGTGTGTTTTGCTGCATTTCGAGTCTTGGCGCCATGCCGTATGTTCTTTCCGTTATAATTATTTCATATCATAGTGAGGTCGGCACTGAAGAATAGGCCTGAGCTGATGTGGCCTGTCGCCGATTCTTGTACCTACCTACTTTTCGTGACCATTATGAGTGTAGGTGTTGAATACTTTGGTTTTGTTTGGTAGTTAGGAAGTAAACACAGTAATAATGAACGTCTTGCATGATGCTGCTCGGAAGTATCTTAATTGATTATTGACAGACGTTTTTTTTTTAACTTTGCAGAGTACGGCAGACTTAATAAGTTAACCATAAAAACTATTGTTCGAGCGCACAAGTCTGCAAAAAAAAATTCAATTAACCATATGGCATCAGTTAAAATACCAGAACATAAAATTATTTTATGCGGTGAATTCGGTGTTGGAAAGAGCTCTCTATTCAGACGATATGCTGCTGATACATTCATCACTGCCACTGATAGAAAATCTACATTAGGGCTGGACCATTATGAAAAGCTTTATAAAACCAAGTCCAGGGATGTGAAGGTAAACTTATAATTAAAACTTGGCAACTTGTTATGCTGTATTTTTAAGACTTGAGTACCTATTCTGCATTCAGCAGTGTAATTGATAAATTTAAATATTGAATACTGTTCCCTTGATTTTTTATTAACACAAACTATCTATCAATCATATTGAAATATTTTAGAATTTAGAATAAGACAACTGTAAACAACTCTCATAAACTCAGGAGTGTATGTCTCATGTCTGAACGACTTGAATTTAAATTTAATTGTGTATTTTGTATTCAGATATTGATTTTGATTCTTTTTGTAATACCATAAAATAGCATAAAACCTTTGCATATGTAGTCACTTCATGATCATGTCACTGTGTAGGGTAAACGCGGTATATTCCGACATCATAGTGGCAAAGCAGAGAGTTTTTTAGACTCTCCCTCAAGTTCATTTTTAAGTCTTATAAGTAGACCAGTAAAGTATCATGGATACCAGCATTATCATGCTTAAGAAATAAGCTTAAATCTCGAGTAGATGAGGAAATTTAAAATGAACTGATTCTAAAAAATCTCTGGTTCGTCACTATGTCCGACATCGTAGGTAATTCCGTCACCTCTCCAGCTTTTCCTTTATATTAAGCTTTGTTTTAGTTCCATGCGTTCATTGATGGTTGAAATGGTGACGTCATACATTTGCGTGTCGAAATACTGCAAAAACACTAGGTCTTGGCCATTTAGTGGGAAAATATTGAGATCCAAAGAGAGACAATGCATGCCACGTGGTGAGATCATCAAAAAATGTGTCAAATTTGACAGTTGACATGGCTCTACCAAATAGTGAATAACTGTTTTTATAGGAAGAATATTATGGTTTGAGACTTTTAAATACATCTGTGAATATATTAGGAATCCTTTAAGTATACTTGTATTCGCTGATTTCAAGTCGTAAATAAATTAATAGATGATTAAGTTGAGATGTTGGATTTCGACACATGAAAACTAATTCCGACACAACTTGAATTGGACACACACAGATCGTTCAAAGCTTTGTACAAAAATTGAAATTTGCTTAATTAAAAGCCTAATAGCTGTTAATTAAAACGTAATTAAGTAGTGTTCAATATTCGTTAGTGTTCTAATTCAAAGCTGTGTTGTATCCCAATACAGCTCACACAGCAAACGGAATTCGAACACGTGGATGTCGGCAATACGTATCAGTTAAATTTGAAGCGCTGACGCAATACGACTCACCACGTGTCTGATGTTGCCACACAAAGTGACGGAATATAGGGATTTGGTAGGTTTCCATTCTAAAGGCTTTTTAATAAATATGGCAACATTTGTAGTGAAGTGTTTTGAGAGTCATGTGAAGGCAACAGAACTTACGTAACGCATACGGTTTTTTTTATAGTTTTTCATTTCTCGATGCGTCCTTAATGTGTCGGAATATACCGCATTTACCCTATTTTTTATTTATTAAGGAATATTTACTCTATTGTCAATGCCAACAACATTGCCATTTGCTATGGCACAGGATCAAAATTTTCCTGTCTATTACATAGCCTACTAAAGTACTAAAATTGCGCAACTTCAAAGTGACAGATTTTTAATGCATTTGAAATCTTACAGCCCAATCATGCACATATCCATATGAAGTTATGATATCAATTAGATGGAGAAAGGAGCCAAGGGAAAGGAGGTAATTCATCTAGTGGAAATTGTGTGAAAGCTCTAGTTGTAGCTAGAAAGGTCAGTAAATTTATTCCATGCCTGTGGCACAACACTTATGTTACCAGTTGCCACTTGTCAGCAATACTGCAATAGCATTAAAATGAAACGATCTATTTTGTTAACAAAACTGAGCCACAACTTTCTAGCACAATCAAACAAGCTTCTTAGTTTTTATGTCACAATCAAACCATATGAATAGTAATTCTGAGTTCTGACTAGTACATTTAGCTTTAGTCTTTTATTAATGAGCTGCTGCAATACCAAGTACTGTTGCTGAGTGACAGCTCAAGTGTCATTGACTGTAATTTAAACATGACTATGATTTGATGTTTATCCAGAGGCTACTTATCCACAGTTCCACACCATCCTTTGGTCAGGATAAAATTTGGGAAAGTGATGAAAGAATAGGAATGAATGTCATGTTGCATCAGAAAACTTGGTGGTAAAACTTTTTTTTATAACTTGGCTTATTTTTTAGAGTAAGCAAAGGTTCAGGAAGGTCAATATTTTAGAAATAGACTGCTATTTCTATCATCAATCAGAATCAGTTGAATTAGAAGATGCTTGGCCATGCTTGGCTGTTTTAGCTCAAAAAGCTGGGGTCTAACTTCAATTTAATTCATTTGCATTAAGTTTCCATTAAGAATTAAATTGATATTACTATTTCAATCTTTGAAAAAATGCAGAAAAACATCAAATTCATTCTCAAAGTCAAAACTTTCTTTTTAATTGTTGTAAATTTTATTTTTTGAGCTTGGTAGGGGTGATGCTAGGCACAAAATGATGGTCAGATGCTAATTGAATGTGGCATTATAACAGAGCCTCAAACACACACCTGGGGCCATACTGGGTCTTCTTAGATTTTGTGTAACCAAATATGGTACCTAACTTGCCTGCAAATGGGTTAATAATGTAGGTTGTCAGTGCTTTTAAAATTTTTAAATGTTCGCATCCTTGTCTATTTGTTTGATTTCCACATTTGTGTATGGTATTCCTTGACATTTTGTTGTAAGGTCATTTTGTAGATACAGCTCAGAACTACCGTAGTCTTCAGTTGTCAGTAGCTACTTACAGAATATGAATTCTTACATGTCTTGAATTTATATTGTTGTGACTACACGTCATTTTCACATGTGATGTTGTGCAGCTGCAGTTATGGGACACAGGAGGAATGGAACGAGTGGCCTCCATAACCTCATCTTATTACAAGTTCTCAGAAGCTGCCATTCTCGTTTTTGCTCTTGACAATCCAGATTCATTCAATGTTCTATCCCAACATTTACTTGATGTTGTTACTTATGCTGAGAATGCAAAGATATTCCTATGTGGAAATAAATATGATCTTAAAAGCCAAATTTTAGTTTCTGATGCTGACATGGAAACATTTAGGTGAGTATCTTCAGACTGTGACTGAACCTGCCCATTGTAATTAAGTTACATTTTGAATTTTCACTCAATAACTTTTACATGCAGTAATGTCAGTTACTCATCATTATTGGATATTTTAATGGACATGTTATAGTTCATATCACATTCTCAAATGTTCAAAATTTACAACCCTCATTCATAATGGTGCATTGTGATTCAATAGATTAAGAATAATTAGTAGGACTCATGAGCAAAGTTTTCTTTTCTCAGTGAGCAGTGCCACAATCTCATTTCTGGAATATATAAAACGTCTTGCAAAACTGGCGAGGGTGTTGAAGAAATGTTTGCTGATATTGCATCCAAGCTTGGAGATGCTAACAGGTTTGTTGTGCACCTTGAAATGAAAAAAAATGAATTTGATTTATAATGGTTGATGATGCATGATATAACTTGTTCAACTGTGCATCAATAGTAAGTCTTGCTTTTGAATTAATTACTTCCATACCATAGGCAGTTCTTGTTAAACAATGTATTTACTGATTTTTTTTTTTTTTTGTTCCAGGTCACGGAAGGAGTTGGATGCCTTGACTGATGAATCATTCAAAGTCACTACACATCTTGATTCAACACCACAAGATTCTTGTTTATGTTGAAAACGCTTGCTACCTATGCTGTGGCACTATTTCCAGAACTCGAGAGATGTGAGTATATTCAGGCTGTCTTCCTGCAGTGGTTGGCACTGCTCTTTATCTTATTAATTCTCATTGTTTCTTTATGCAGAACTGAACTCAAGTAATTTAACCTGGCTCGCATGAAATATAACTTGACACACATAATGTTTTTTCATCATTGATTCAGTTATTATATAGGTAGTCATTTTTATCTGAATTTCCATGTATTGTTAAAAAGAAGTTATTTATTTGTTCCAGGACTTGGTGCAGATGTTCTTCCCTTTCTTGCATCTAACCTCTGGGTTGCGAATATGAGCTTCAGCCATCGTTCTCAGCATCACATTACGTCAATCTCATTCATATTTGTAATATACATGCATGACAGTCATGTCGAAGGTATTGGATGGTGACAAGTTGAAGGGGTGCTCTCATCTCAGCATGCCTCCATTGTTGAAGTCTCTTTAAGCCACTGTTACCAAGTATACTAGAAAGTTAGTTTTCTAAAATATTTCATTTACGTAGATATACATAAGTGAGTGCCAGCTATTTCACGAAAAGTTCAAGAATCGGCAACAGGCCATGGGCCTATTTCTTCAACGCCGACACTTCTATTCTATTCTACGTAGATATACATAAGTGAGTGCCAGTTATTTGAAAATTATTACGCTCCACTTTGTTTCAGAAAGGCGTATTAAAAAAAAACGTCCACAAGCTTCTTACGCATACTTCCAAGGACTTTTCATTGTAGGAATAAGAAATATTTTACTCGAGCCTGAGTTCATTGTTTCGAATACATTGCTGAAACAACAGGAGTGGTATTGATAGTTACACTTGCCTTGCTAATCCGATCCCATTCTTTAATTTTTCTTCGATGATTATGATGGGCAGATATCTTTTCTAAAGTTGTAGTGGAAAAGCTTGCTTAGTTCGTCGAGGTGCCTTAGTTGTAGTCAAATCTGTACATACGTTTCGTAGCCACTAGTCATACGAATGCCAATCTTGCCAGCATGTGTCATGACGCCTCAATGAAGACGTATTTGAATTTGACGGCCTGCGTTGCCAACATCGTGGCGATGCACAGAGATCTACTGACGACGCTATAATTTTTATAGACCACAAAACTGATGAATTAATTAGTCGGTGCCAAAATTTAGTGCATTAGTTTCTCAGTATGAACGATTTTACTTCAGCCGGAGCCTCATGCTTTGAAAAAAAACACGAAATTCTGAATGTAGTCTTTTTTATAATATTAAAATAAAGACAATATAAGTGTACCGTACGGAATTCCGTTTTTCATTCAACAGGAGTCCCAATGAACTTTTTCGGAACTATTTTCAAGATGAGTTTACATCGATCAACTTGTGGAAGCCGTGGGCAAAAACGATCGCTTAAACTTTCAGCGACCAATTCCCCGAGTGCAATATTTCAACATCGAGTGGATTCACTATTGGAGAACGATCGTAATTCGACCAGATTAAGCAAGCAGTAGCTAGGATATTCTCAAACCATTTCAGGTATTACACACGATATACTCAAAAAATAGCATTTGTTGCAGAAGGTTAAGAATGCGAGTATGAATGTACACTGTATTTTCAATCTCCGGGATATCAGTTCCTCGTAAGCAGCCAACAGGAGCCATGCTCGCACTGCGTTGGAGTAACTAACCTCGGCTTAGATCTCCGTCACAGCAACACGCTTCACCAACAATAAATAGCAGATGGAGGAACCGCCTTAAGATGCTATCACCAACAGTGAAAAGAACTTCTGTCGTCTATTCAAGTGAGCTGTACAAAAACAGGTATCGCACTATTATTATTCACAATCTGTACAGCGTATAAACAATGACTCGGTCGTCAGTTAAATCTTCTGGCAACACCATGAGAGTTGAAACGTAGCTATAAAAGTATGAAAGTCCATATGCTCAAAACAGGCATTGCTGGAATATATCATGAGGACACAACCCAGGGTTAAAAGTACACATTGCTACTGAACTAATAATGCCATTGTTAGACGTAACAAAAATCCAACTAGAATGTTATCTGAAGTACTACGCTACGAATAAATTAACATAAGAATCGAGTTTACGCTGTACAAAAGAGGACACAAAGCCCTTGAGAAAAGTTTTCATTCAGGACGGAAAAAATAAGGAAAACTATTCTCCCAAGCCCCCATGACCGAAACATCGCACGATGGAGTGGAGTTGAAATCATAGAACTCTAATATCATGGCAGTCGTAGTGGTAAGAATTAAATAAGTAGGCAAACCGACGTAAGCTACCTGAAGGGAGGAAAAACTACAACAATACCGCCATCAATACAAAATTCATGGTAGTTTATATCCCGACAAAGCCATTGCAAGGTAGTTAACAATCTCTTTTCAAATGTAATATCCCAATGACCACATTTCAAGTTTTGACTCACGCCACACTGCCGGGCACATGCCAGTAACGGCCCACTCCAATATTCTTTAATGCATTTCCATAGATGTTTTCACATCAGCCGTGCAAGGCACCTGTCATGCCCGTGGTGTGAATGCTTCTGCTTCTATATAAGAAATGCAATGAAGAATTTAGGACGGAAAAAAATAAGTAGGTTAAGAATGCAATAAAGAATATTAGACTGGACCGTGACTGTAACATGCCGGCGGTATGGTATGAACCTGGCCTAACGCAGCATGTAGCCTAACTACCACGGCGTTAGGACAACAGCCCGCACTCAAATGTATACGTGAATTTGACGTCCACAAGCAAGCTGCAACGAACGATGAGTAATTCAGTCACACCGAATGGTTTATGAAAGGAAATCATTATATTGAAAATACACCGAAATCATTCGTATTCCGATGTGACGTGGCGAGCACGAAAACCTGCAAGATCGCAACGGAAGACACGCAAAAGCACCAGCGATGGCAAGCGACCGTATCTCTGCGCAACAGATGGAACTGAAAATAGATCTGTAGGACAACATTGCCGAGATTTTCTCATAGTCCAACCATGAAAAATAATGTAACGAATAATAAGAGACGATAACTCGGGCAGAACACATGACATGACATGACATATATTGCTCTTTACAGCGAGGATTCGTAGCACAAAGAAATTCAAGAGCCGCTTGAATGCTAATTCTTGAATGACGCATCATTTTCTTTTTCTAACGAGGCATTAAAAAGTTATAACATCTTAAGCGCCAATTACTGTCAACAGAATACCTTAAGTTGGTGGAAGTTGATGAAAATGCAAAAGGATAACAGCGTCATATGGTTGTGAATTAACGGCTGAACAGACCATTAATACTGAATACAATACCAGCACAGAAACGGAAGAGGCTGAACCAGATGATATGAAATGGAAGAACTTGGCTGTACTGTATAACATGACCGACGTTTGCAACGAACAGAGACATCGTGTTATCCTGCACAGATTTGAGAGGAACGCATGTTTGGGAAAGACGGTAATCACTCCGTTCATTTGTGCACATAATCTGGCGAATTTTTATAATACGAAAACCAATACACAAAAAGAAGATAGGCGAAAAAAATTCAACATGTACTGAATATCAAGGGAGAAAACTAAAAAATAACAGCAAATGATTCGTCACAAAAATTTCTAATCCTTTTGATTCATTATATTGCAACTAGTAAATAAAAAATTGTACTGCTATGCACCCTCCTTGTGCTTTATATTTTCCAACTTAGGAATTTTCTGAAGCAACACCAAAATTTAATGGTTCCCATGACAAAAAAAAGTGAATCAACTGTAAAGGCATCCCCAGCTCGTGACGATGCTCATCTCGAAGGTCGAATAAACAATTCTTTATAAATTTCGATCGTAATACAGATAAAAATTGCTGTCTCCACATAAATATTTATCACACAAATTAACGACGAACTAGAGAACAAAGAAGTGTAGACAAACAATGGCAAGTAACTAGCGCGACGCGTGAACCTTGAAATTCTCTTTACTCAATAGTTTAACCCCGCCGGCAGGCATGCGTGATACAGATAACACATCACTGCATTAAGACGGGAGAATAATAACCTGTAATTTTCATCAGACAACAGTACAACAATTCATTTTCCAAAAGAGGAACTTGAAGAAGGAACCAGAGATTAAAAAAAAACAATGAAAAACAGGAGTCTTGTTGGAATATCCACATGAAATCAAATATCCAAAATAAGATGAACACATCAATTGCATTAGCGCTGCAAACGTACGGCTCACATATGAGTAATTCTCCTTTGCATTTTGAAGAAGATAGTGGGATGGCAGCGCCATAATAAGACAAAACTTTAGTTCCTAGAGCTTTACGTCAACCAAGATTTTGCACTGCTTGTTGAGAAGTAAGAACAACAACGTCTATCAATAACCAAAATTGTATTTCTATCTCGCAAGCGTGACACAAAGTTAGGAGCAGTCAGCTTGCTCTAGGTCAATCAAGTTAATCGAGTACGCAATCCTTACATAATTACGCTTCACATTTATTTCACTACTAACTTCACATCTTCAGGCCAGTAAGAGTGTAACAACAATAAACTGAGAACGATAAAGATAGAAAATGCGACCAGAAAATGCGCTCTCTGCAAACAATTATGCAGTAAATAAGATAGTTTGCCGCAGACGTGTTAAGAAACAACTGCATCGGAGAGATCAAGGGAAACTCTTCTATTAAAAACATTCCACAGAAACATGGAAAGCGCGGCTCAGTACCCAACGTCACCTTACCATACGTGCCAGTTGCAGGAAAAAATGACAATTATATGAAAAATCTTGCGATTTTTGGCAAAAAAAAAAAATACATTAGAGCTTCCATTCGCAATCGTCTCGCTTACAGCTTTTATCTAATACCAAAGTCATAATATCCTTTTTTAATATTTAATTATCTAAAAAAATACCCCACGAGTTTAATTTTCTATAAAAAAACTTGAGAAAGGAACAGATGAGAGGTCATCGCTGCAACTCAATGTCCTGACAACGATGTAGAATAAGGAAATATTCTGGACACTTGTACTTTCTTTGCACCACGCCGACATGTTATAAGACTATTGCAGTATCATCTACACAAATATTTTTACAGTGAGATTAGGGAAACTGTACTCAAATTCATTCACTTCCAAACTGTACTTTGCATTCATTCACTTTGCTTCAACGAGAAATAGTTTGCGTTGCAACATCTATTTACACTAACTGCAGGACATCAATCATTCCCAAGTTATTTGCACTTATAAGGCAAAACACCTAATAGTCATAACTACCTTTATCTGTGACAGTACCGGCAGGCAGAATGATAGCAAGCCAGGCAGGGACGACACAACAAACGCATTTCCTTAGAGAGTACAACTACTGGACTAGCAGAAGAGAAAGTCAAAGAGCAACAAAGCAGCATGAAATAGGTTCTATTTTATCGTTAAGTTTTGCTGTTGCTCCAGCAGAATGTCCGACTGGCACATCTGAATTAGAGGTCATACCCGAGTCAACATCTTGCACAGGTACGAATGATGGAGTGTCTGCTAAACTGGCGTGCAGCGTCATCCAGTCGCTATCAGCACAATCTTCTTCATGTGCAGAAGTGGGGAGCAGAGAGTCAATTTCGTGCCTGCAGGGAGCATCTATTGTACTAGCTGCAGCCGCTGGCAGCTTACAACTGGCACTGCTTGTGTCACAGCACTGAGCTTGTGGTGCATCATATTCAGTTTTAGTCTCATAAGAACCATCGAGCAGTTGCTGATCTGCTTCTTCTACAGCCTGAACAGCTTCTACAACATCGTCTAAGCTGTGAGGCGACACCGCTTCACAATTCTCTTCTGACAAACAAGCAAAGCGAGGCAGATGTTCCTTAGCTGAAGCAATGGAAGATTCAGAGTCGGCGAAGACGGCAGAAGCTTTGACGCTCTCAAGACAGGAAGACGAAGTCTCTCGAGTAGGAGAGGACGAATTATCATCATTATCCACCAGCTCATCATCTTCAGCATCATCGTCGTCGTCATCATCATCATCTTCCTGAGATTGACTAACTTCATCTCCATCAACGTCATCGGGATCATAGAATACCTCAGCCCCTTTGAATACGTAGCGGTGGTTGCCGTTGTACAAGTAGGCATTCTCTGCACAAGTAAGCAATTATTTTTTATTTCACTAAAAACTAAGTTTTTTCCAATTAATTTTCTCATATTACGAATTAAAGAAAATATGTTCTTAAAAAATGTTCCCGCCGATAGAATGTTATTGATGTACGAAACTAGAAAAAATATAACACAATACTCACTGCAGTGAGTGACAGAGAGCGCATTTTCGAAAAAGAAAACGTGGTCACGACGACGGACAGACAGACAGACGGACGGACATGACGAGCACAATAGCGCCTTTTTTCCATACATGAAAAAATGCGCTAAAACGTATTTGCCATATAAAATAATTACCTAGTCTCAAAGCATTAGATTGCATCTAGCATATAAAGATGAATTCTTCATTACTGAAACGTACATGCTTCAGTAGCATCGAACAAATTACTAGCATCAGGAAATACTGACCAGGAAGTCGGGCAGCAACGCTTTCCCTTATTTTGGGAGCCCAGCAGGCGCGCAAAGCTTCGATGTCATCCTCGTCCTTGGGATGAGGAGCCTCGGCAGGCACGGCAGCAGCAGCAGCACTCGACGCGACGCTGGCGGCCGCCGAGCTTTCGGTTGAGGCAGCGGAGGGACTGCAGGTTAAGTCTTCAGGCTTGGGCGGCAAATCTCTTATTTCAGACAGCCTCACGTCACTGTTGCAGACGTTCTTCCAGCTGGGGCCAAGCCTGAGGGCGCAATTTTGTTATGGAAAGTGGTTTGAGACGTAATAATTAGAACTGGATGTGAAAGTAATGCCAATGTTTCATTACTTTACATACTCAACCTTAATTGTCTTCAAGGTCAAAAAATCCTTTCGATGAAATCTCACACATTCTATCAGTCCCGTTCTACGATGAAATCTCACACGTTCTATCATCAAATTTGGAACGCAAAGAAGCATCAACAGCAGACTTATAACAAAGTATCTTTCAAGACTTGTACACTAACCCACCGAAAGCAATGTGTGAGCTAAAGAATTACGAACTAAAAACAAAGTATCTTCTTTAACTTTCACACTCACCTATGGCAGAGCTCATTGACGATGACATCGCAGTCTCCCAGAAGTTCGATGTCAAAAGTTAGGTGGTCAAGAGGCTCGCGGTTGATGAGGATTTGAGGGACTTGTGGTGGTATGGAGTCTGCAATTAATAGCAAAAAAAGAGGTTTGAATTAAAGGATACATACAATAACCTAGACGCATAAAAATTCATTATGGACACGACTGCTTACCATGTCGAATTTTTTTACTAGCAATATTTTTTTAAGAAAATAAAGATCAAAAGTACACGGTATCTTCTACTCAATATGCAATTTATTTCAGATAAGCTTCCTTCACCCTTACAAAATTTTTTGTGTTAAACAAAAAATCGCACAAAAGATTTATCAATGAACAAAGCGGTGAACTCACTTGGAATGTGAGCAACTGGTCGCACTTTTAGGGAAGATCCAATCACGATGAGAAGATCACAATTGTTTTGGTCCAAAGATATACAGTCGTGAAACTCGTCAGGGAGTCCTTCTCCAAAGAATACAATATCAGGCTTCATAATTGGCTGAGGGAATAACATACCGTTGCTGCTCTCGCTTCCAGAACACATACCACCTGATAACATACATGAGAACATTAGAACAATAATTAGCTTACATAGCAGACCTGGGTGAGTTGTTAGGCAACTGCTTCACCAGCATAACTTTAGTTATACAAATCCAAATAATGAGTTTCAGCCAATGTTAATAATCGGTACAGTATCATCTACAAACAGCACCAATGGAAATTGTTACAAAGTTGGCAGAATATAGAGAAAAAAACGATTATGTTTAATGCAAAGACCAGTAATGAAATAAACAATGTGTGCGGCGAATTTCAGGATATAAGATCTTCATAAATTACGACTCCACTCACTTATATTGAAAGAGTCCATATTACTATCTTCGTCCTCCACACGAGGTGGCGTTTCATCTAAACTTGAATTGTGTGAATGATTAGCATCACTCGAGGCCCCAGCATGATCTGGCGTCATAGCCTCAGGGAGATTCTTACAGGGATTGCGTGGGAGGAAATTAGAGGAAACTGTAGTGTCGGTGTTAGACGCCCCAGTGGGGTTCAGGAGGTAGGGTGGTGGGGTGGATGGAGGAGTGCAGTGAGGACACATGGGGATATGCCGGTCAAATATCTCTGCTTTGATGACATCTGCCGAAACTTTGTGCATGCATCTTTGGCATGTGGCTGTGGCAAAAGATCCATGGCATTGAATAACTCTTGTGATGCCAGCAACTTGTTCTAATGTGTCAATGTTTTGGGTGTAGTTCCGTAGTAGCTTATCATGTGATTCCAGGCATCGAATAAATCTGTAGAATAAGGTCAATATTACAGCACGTTAATATTATAGTGCATGAAATTAAAATACCAGTTTCATGTGAATAAATAGTTATTAAAAATTCTATGTCTGGCAATGCGTGATTCAAATAAGGAATATGAAACATAATATGAAGATTAGAGATCAGCACAAAGATATACACGTTTTATTCACATCAGAGTGTCGTATGAACTATAAATATGCATCAATTTGACCAGAAACACTTCAACAAAGGTAATGAGATGCAAACCTGTGGCAGAGTGAAGGAGTGAACTGGCCAGGATATATCTCGCGAGCAAACTTAAAGAAAGGTCTGGGGTCGCGCCGGAAGAAATGGATATCAAACATTGCTTGTGGGTCTGGCAAGTTAGGGAAGTCCACAGCAAGACGGGCATATACGCCGTCACGACTGCGGAAATCTGGGATACCGCATGACACTGACACCTGAAATGAAAGAAAATAACACATTCATTCTTGAAAAGACGTCAACCATAATAAAAATTTCCTTCTATACACAAAATGTAATCAAACATGTTGACAACAGAACACAAATTACTACATTAAAAAATGAAGGGGGGACTCTACAGGATATTAGGTACAGGTGAGGCAATTAATTGGACTCACCCCAGCCCCAGTGAGGACAATAATCCTGCGCGAGGTTTTGATGAGTCGCACGGCATCATCGAGAGTATTGAGGTACCTCAGACGCTCTCTCCTTGGTCCTTCAGTGAGCACGTTTAGGAGCAGCCGCCATATCATCTCATCACTCACATGGTCTGGGATGTCGCTGGGATCAGCTCCCAATACCTGAACCAAACTTTTAGGTAAATATCAATTCATTCAACTCTTCTGAGTTATCAACTTAAAAAACAGGATTCATTTTCAAATGATTAAAGTTATACTTGAAATAATGCAGGAAAGAATATAACACAAAACACACAAGTTGGACAAGGTCATTGAGGTAGTACCTTTGAAAGAACAGCTCTGGGATTATGTCCGCGTTGCATCTGCTGTTGCACCCACAGTGATGGCTCAGGAGTGCTATCTTCACCATCACTGCCATCACCACCAGCATCTTCACTATTAGATAATCTACTCGTGCGTGAGTCATCGCTGGAGACCGAGTTATCATCATTGACTTCATCAGCAGCGTTGTGTTGAGAAGAATAGTGGATGTGGTGGTGCGGAGTGGAGCCTTCAGAGGTTGAGGGCTGGCAAGAAGAAGCAAGAGCAGGAGCTGCAGGGTGTGAGGTGTGGTGAGCTCGGCGTACTGGAGGCCCACATTCATCTTCTTCTTCTTCTTCATCAATGCTGCTGGAGTGACGACGTTTAATCCCACTGAAATGATAAAAAATATAACTCAATACTCACTGCAGTGAGAGACAGAGCACATTTTCTCGTCAACAAAAACTTGAGGTTACGGACAGACGGATGGACAGATGGACGGACAGACAGACAGACGGACGGACGGACATGGCAAGCACAATAGTGCATTTTTTCCATAAATGAGAAAATGCGCTAAAAAGGGCAATTGAAAAGTTCCAGAAGTAATGTCATGCTTTAAAAATAAATCTTTCTGCAATAATAAACAATGTGGAAGTTCAATCTTCTGCATTTCACTACAAAACCAATTGGAATTTGGCATCATGATTGAATGAAATGTAGAGAAATTTCACGAATTTCAAGTTACCAGCTTTAAGGATAATTCAAACTCTAGCTAAAAAAATGACCATAACCTATGTTATAGTTTCAATACACACTGTGGAAGCTGAGAGCTGGAAGGCTCAGATGAAGGTTGCTGCAATGGCTCCTCTTCAGAAAATCGTGGAGGTGTGAGCTCATTGAAGCCAGAGTCACAAGTTAGAGATCCTCCATCCATGGCTACACTGCTGCTGCTGCTTGTGCTGCTGGTGCTGCTCACTCGCCCACCATCTAGAGAGAAAAACTTATGTTATTCATGAGGCTAGGTCATAAGAATTGAAAATACTCAGATGGACCAGGTTATCATTCTGCTAACACCACAATCCACACATTGCAACACCATCAAAAGATACAAGATTAGAAGACAGCTACTGATCCCCTACTACCCCACGAGACATTATTTACATAGATCACTTGTAAATTTTGTTGTTTCTAAAACAGATCATGGCTGTGCCATATTTTATTGTGTGGCAACTTTTCAGGAACTTTTCAGGGGAAGAGCTGCATATACTACAAATAAGTGGTTTATCTTGTTGAGCAAGATAAAAAATTCATATACATACTCTTCATTTTCAATCTTTTAGAAAGATAATGGCACACCTTCCAAGCTTCAACACTTGCCTATCCCCAACCTCAGAAAATCCACAATATTAATGCTTTTTATGCTGATAAAAACATGGCATAACTGAATAGTTCACCAAAACATGGCATAACTGAATAGTTCACCAAGCAGATCGATATAATTAGTAGTCTTGTTCTAGAGCCTGAATAATTGCATCTGACTAGGAGGCTTCTGTAACATACTTGGACTCTAAAAATCAGACCTAAACTCTGTGTCCCACCTGTAACAACTACAATTTTACCAATTAAGTAGGAGTTAATAATATGAGAACCTAGTTGGTTTGCAAGTCTTCAAGTTATTAAGTGTGACAACTCAACTGTCTATTTACTAGTTTCTTTCTTGTATGGCTCAAAATGTAAACCTTCTTTAAAGGCTAGTTGCCATATGTAGGATAGGGACTTGCAAATCTGTTAAGTTGCATATTTGGCTAGAAGAACCTGTTCACATCAATTGACTTGTGCCAAATTCTGTTAACCAATGTGCAATTGATGATTAAACATTAATGAAGCATTAAATCCAAAATTAAGCCAAGAATCTTCTATTTTTACATTTCGAATGGCTATGTGGCAGGTCCAGAAATTGTTTGTTTAGACAAGAAGGAGATATATTTGGCAAGTGTTAACATTAAAAAATAAAATCAAAGTCAGATGATGAACTTCCAAAATGTTGTTATTAGGTACAACCTACTAAAAAATTGGAATATGGGCCAGAATTTTGCATGAATTGCAGGCAAGAAATTCTATCAAGGATGGTGGAAACGACTGCATGAGAACCATCCAGCACAACAGCAGCCGGGTAACTAAAGCACAGCTTAGTCAGACCATCTTATTTAAGCGCATGGTAGCAAATTTTTGCCTATGTTAAATACCCTTTTGCGACCTGTTGTGAATGCATAAATCAATGTACAAAGATGGTTTTGGTACTGTTGGATGGTTCAGAATGTCAGCTTTAAGAGGAGAGTAAAAACTGGAAGAGCCAATATCCTAAATTTTTGGCCAGACACTCCCCTTAACCCTTGTCACCACTCACCACAGGTCTGCGGAAAAACACCCTTTGTTTATAATAGTCTCATTAAAAAAATAATATACGTTTAAAAATTACTTTTTAAAGACAACACTTCCAAAGAATCCAGTATCTTTGATCTTACAGATGTACAATGAATTTCTCATCTAATATTCGAAAATTAAAAAAATTTATTTTTACATTTTTTAATAGATATATATAATTTTTTTAATATATAAATTTTTTCAAAATTATTTATTCTATTAATTGATTCATGCATTGCCTCCGACTTCACACAAGTGTGCAAAATTTCAGATCAATCAGACAGGTAAAAGTGTGTCAGATATCAGTTATAAGATTTGTAGCTGACAAAATTATTTTTTCAATTTTTTTAAACTTGAAAAAAATTTTTTTTTATTTTTTAAAATCTTTTATTTTGACATTTGATTCATGCATTGTCTCCAACTTTACACAAGTGTGCCAAATTTCAGATCGATTGGAAAGGTAGAAGTGTGTTAAATATCGATTATAAGATTTGTAGCAGACAGACAGACAGACAGACAGACAGACAGACAGACAGACAAGAAGTGAAGTTAAAGAGAAGTGTTGTAATAACCACAAATCTCACAGCCTTGTCTGTCAAGATACTCTTCAACTGAGATCTATTCATGGTTTTGGATCAATAATATTTTAGCTTTTTTGATCGATAATAATTAGGTAGGTCATTTAGCAAACCACGTATAAACTTTAACCAGCAATTGAGCTGCTTTAACCAGCAATTGAGACATCAGTCTTCAGTGAGCAACAGAGGTGGGAAGAGCTCAAATTTTCCAGTGTGCCTCTTCATCTCATTTCATGTACCTAGTTTTTGCATTGGTGGGCAATGAACTCCCAGACAACATAAATAAAAGTATTGGAACAAGGAAACCAGCTATGGCCTATGAAGATGCACTTGCACCAGCGATGAAGATGCACATGCTCTGGCAATAAAGATGAACAGGTTTCCAGGCACATGCAGTGGCAAACCAGTGATTTTTTTAGAATCCATTCATTTTTATTTCCTCATTTACTGTAGATTTTAACAAATTTCTTAAGTATGATAATTCTGGTATCCAAGATACTTTACTGGTCTACTTTTAGGACTCAAAAATGAACTTGAGGAAGAGTCTAAAAAACTCTCTGCTTTACCACTATGACTGTCATGCACATATGACGGGATGCTCATTTCGTGGTATATTTTTTTTTATTTGTACGTTCTATTAATCCTGTGCTAGGTTAGTGACCAGTCAATTGATGTAACATTTATTTTGTGACTGAAATAAGGAACTTCATTTAACTGTGATAAGAGCCGGACCAAAGAGCGACTCTTTAGCCCTTGTGTTACAACCAATACGCAAGTCACCGTCAAGTCGGCACGCTACTCATAACTATTTCAACTTTGCGGCGGTGTTTCCGGTCACACACACATGAGTAACTTACAGTCTCCTCACCACCAATAGCATTATCACAATAATGAGTGGTTGGAATTGTGATACAGGGCTCTGCTTGAGACCAGAAATTTGGTCCTTTCAATGTCATAATTTTTAAAAATGGATTTGAGTTTACAGTTATGAGTTTAATGACTGCATTTGATAAGAAACAATCTATATTAAAGCCTGGTAAAATAATCATGTCATATTCAAAGTGAAAAGAACCTAAAAAATACTTGAAAGAAATGAGGGCAAAAATTATTTGCAGCCAAGGTTGAATCATGACACAAAAACCCATGGCAATTAGGGTTATTGGCCAGTGGCAAATGAGAACATTTATTATTACCCTTCTTCATGTCTTTTTAGGGAATTTTCTTATTTATGGAATAAAGGTGCTATTGTACTTGTCATGTCCGTCCGTCTGTCCATCCATCCGTCCGTCCGTGACCACGTTTTTGTGGACAAGAAAATGCGCGCTGTCACTCTCTGCAGACTAGTATGGAATATATCTACTTGGCAAGCCGCGACTGAATTTTTCGAGCCGTGGTTTTATGGATTTGCCAGCCGTGATTCCATTTCTACGAGCCGTGATTCTATTTCACCGAGCCGTGAATTCCATATCTCGGCCATGAAAAGCCATTTACGAGGTGCGAATGCGAATTTATTTACAAAGTTTATGCACGCGTTACCCCAAATCTCTAATTTTACCCTTAAACAGTCAAACGGCAACAATAAAATTTGTCTCTACTGTAGGTTCAGCACATGTTAATATACAGTCTGACCGCTTTGACATGACCGCAACTATGCGTGATCTTCAACAAACGTTTTGTTGATTTGTTTACATTACAATGTTTATGTTTTTTCTGCAAGATATTTTTGGCGGAAACGGTAAAGCAATGCGCAATGCGGATTGCGGAAGTTGAAAATTTTATGAAATGACATGTTTGCAAAGTGCAAACCGCGATTTTTTAATCAAACAAAAATTTATGACATTCGAGCCGCGAGATTTCATACCTACTGAAATTATATGATATTAGAGCCGCGATATTTCAGACAAAAATAGGACTTTTCCAGACTAGTCTGCAGAGAGTAGGCTAGCCTACTGAGTTATAATTTTTGAGTCCAATAAGTAGACCAGCCAGTATCTTGGACAGTGAACACCAGCATTTGCATGAACATACTTCATACTGTATCATACATAAGAAATTGATTAAAATATTTTTATATTAATATGAGGAAAATAAAAATGTATCATTTCTAAATTCTAAAAAATCCCTAATGTATCATTTCTAAAAAATCCCTATTTTACAACTATGGCCGCTTAACTCAACCTGACCTAAACCCTATTAGTATTAGTCTCATAACTCTCATTTTAGAAAGCCTTAGTCCCAATTTTCCAATTTGGTGCCCAGCCATGAAATCAAGGCACAATTTTTAAATTCCACCCCAATGTCAAAATATTTTTCTTCTCTACTGAGAAAGCAAATCAGCATTCTATACTTTTTTTATCGTTTTCAGGTATTTTAGAATTAACTATGAACCAAAAGAACTAGCCACTAGGCAGGTAGTTTGTTTACATATTTATATCTACCTTCAACAAGCTATACGATCCACACAAACATTTCAGTTAGCCTGTCAAAACATTTTCTATGTGACTGGCTCGTTTTTTTACAGGCATGCGCACATCGATAAGCTTTTGTTTCTAAGAGAATTGACGCAAATAATATAATTTTACTCAATAATAAAGAACAGTCTTAGATACTATCAACTCGCTAAAAGGTAGAAACTGTCAACATTCAATCATAATAATCATCAAAAATGAAAAACTTCCACCTAGCCTTACATGAGTGACGTCAAACTCGACTCAGGCACAACATCGCCATCTTTGAATGGCTGGAGCGATAGAGAAATGAAAGTTAACAACGAAAAAGCAATCTATAACCACGATATTAGCAACAAATAGACTTACTTGCCAGCATATCTGAATTTCGCATAAAACATCTGAAATTGTTTTTGGGTTCACTGGCCAACATTTCACTTTGATAATCCAGACGAAGCCGTTTTGCAGGAACGGTGGACTCCATCACTCGCATCCCTTCCGCCATATTGGATTCTGACGCCATTGTAAAGCATTGCCATTCGATTTACTGTTACCGATTAATGTTCATTATAGAAACGGAAAATATTTGGCATACCTTGTTTACAATATTTTATTTATATTTTGGTACCCTTATCTACTTATCAATTTCCCTCGTAAACGTAACAGTAAATAAATTGATGTTATCAAAATCACAATTCCTACTTCCCGTTAGGAGAACTAGATTCCGAAGCGTATAAATGTCTTTATATATTCGCTAAGGTGTGTAAATTTAACCAATAGGATTTCTTCGTGCTAGCTCAATCCTCATAAAATTGTTTAGTTGTGAAAATATTCGCAAATCTAATTTTAATTGCTCTGAGATTATTACTAAATATTGAACAGCAATCAAGAAACCCATTAACCGTACATACGCATTACATAATATTCATTCAGAAGTTTTGTTTTTCCGTTATAATTGGATTTTCTCATACAGTCGTTCATTTCCTATTTCTCGATGGTTCATACTTCAATCATCGCGATCATATGTAAATTCAGAATAAGTTATTATCGTGATGCATTATATTAAATAATAATATTTATATAATATATTATGTTATTATAGAGTGTGGGTGGATATTCTTCCATCATGATTAATTTTTGTCGATCACGACGATTTTCACTTTCTAATAGGATCGAGGACTTACGGATTTATGAAAATTTTACATTTCAATATCTTCTTTTCGAGTACCACTGAATCGACACTTCTGCGGTCTCATTACTTTATTGATAACTAATCACAACGTACTCAATGTGGCAATGGAAAACTTCTCAGTTATTTCAAACATGAAAAAATATCAAAAAAAAAAACATGTCCAGAAAAGCCGTAGTAGAAGTAACGACAGACGATTCTGAAGTAACATGCCGACTTCTGAAGTGAAAAAAGTGATAATATTATCATTAAAAAGAAGCATGCTTCAATCAAACTTGCAAAAAAGGCTTCTGCTGAATTACACAATTTATCTTAGAGATGTACAAATGAGTAAAGATGCCACTGAAGCATTATAACATGACATTTTCATTCACGGCTCACATCTATCACTTAAAGGATGGATATAATGGAACGCTAGCATATTCGGTATTCCATTATTTTTTATTGACAAATATCGGTTGATGTAATCTTGGTTTGGCTTCAGGTCACTCGGGTTCTATTTCATAGATAGGAATTTAACAGATTGCGCCGAGGCCAACCATAAATGCACCAGAAAGTCTCGTGAGTACGCTTTCTGTGACCTGCAAGTTCAAACAGTTTTTGAATGAAGTCATTCAGTAGTCTCTATGTGGTTGTCCTTTCTTTGCTGGACGCATGATTTTGTTTGAGCAAAACTCACTATGAAAATTTATTTCTGGCGATGTTGTGGCTCCATTTGTCAGTTACAGCTCCTTATTAACTGGGTTTTTGAAAAGCGACTAGCCTCTTTTTCGGCTGTCCCTACCGGAACAGTGGCTTGCATTGACAGGCACATAGACGAATCTGTAAAATTTCTGAAAATTGTCACGAAATGTAATGCAAGAGTTGACCGCCCAGACAAAGTGGGGGCGAACAGGGGTGGGGCCGTGTAAACGTAGCCGGTGTTGTCTTGGCAGCTTGGAAGTGATTGACCTGCTGCCACTTCTCTCCTGCCAATTCTTGCGAAAAACCGCCCTCTCTAAGGGGGTGGAATCTTTCTTTACAAAAACTACGTTTGGGAACGCAGCCGTGCACCCCAAATTTTGTACACCAATAAGCCCTGAATCGAACGCCTTGGATCTTTCCGGACATCCACCAATCAGCCGTGAATGGAATCTGCTATCCGTAACCGATCATTGACATCCTTCTGCTTTGAATATTTTGAGCTCCACACCCCCCAGAGTTTCTCCTGAGGGCTGATTGGTCTAATTCAATTGATTCGTTCTGTCTGGTGGCTTTCGGCTGCTTATATGATTGCCCAGAAGTATTGAAGGCTACGTTCCGGAAGGCAGGAATCATGATGGTCCATTACATCCAGGGCAGTGGTGGTCTTCGGCAGGCTTCCCTCTGTTCAGCAGATCTCGTCAGAAAATTTTTTTTGTCTTGCAATTCAGTGAGCTTGCCTAATACACGGCAAACGTTGATTACTCGTATTGCCTTGATAGAACTAGACTGGAATGTGCTACTGATACCACAAATCGTGAAACCAATTATATATATCACAAAAACTAACCAAAGGCACCCTTTTTAACCTTGATTTCTCGAGTAACTCTTGGTCAATCGAATATCATGCAAGTCCCACTCATGAAATCTAGAGGTATTACTGGTTCTTGACTTACATTCTGATTCAATTATTCTTGCTACGTTACGAACCTGCATTTTTGCGCGTGGTTTGACTACATAATTAACTTCTAATCGTAACTTGGTGTACGGCAGCAAGTCAGCCTCTGCAGTCACTGACCCTTGATTGAGGTCATCCTTAGCATCACCTCGCCGTATTTCTGTTCGTTTTCGACAATTCCAGTGATAACCTCGGGAATAGGTAGAGATTTTCTCTACTTGTTCCTACTTCTTGAGACCTCGTTCCTGATTCAGTGATTGGCGTAGTCACAGATCAATTTGTGGAGCCTGCTTACATTTGATGACTGATAACATCCTTTCTCTAAGACGTACCTATCTCCTTGTTTTTTATCTCATATTCTTTTCAAGGCACAGCCGTGAGCTTCAAGTTAAAACATAAAATTGGCCCTTGAATGAACGCCCAGCTTTTTCATGACCCACTTCTCAATGTATGACCCACTTCTCGATGCATGAACGACTACGGCTCTATCTCTTAATATGTTAGTCCGTCTCTCCACTTTCATACAGCCAATAACTTCGAACATTATCCGGATTAATCCACCTGCGATCTCTTATAGATATCGGTTCATGGACTATATTGGCCCGATTTCCATTGAGTTGATTGGGCGCGCACCAAGGTAATACATTCATGCCTGACTGGCATGAGGTCCCTTGCAACTAATCTTCCAATATAAATGGATTTATCTGTTAATAAAATCCGCAGACTGTTTCAATTGCATTGTTTTCAGTTTGGCTTGCGTGAATATTGCATTTCTGACCTAGGCTCCCAGTTCGTTGCTGGCTCCAACAGCCTCCTGCTGGATTTAAGATGAGAAAACAAAATTTTATCTAAAATGAAATTCATGGCACGAGATGTATTAATTTTGATCAATTTCAAAGGGTGGCGTAAGCTGAGCTCCATAATGTATGAAATCCTCGTTTGCAATGTACAGTGGCGTAAATGGTTATACGACCACGCAGTTTTCTCTAAATATTTTTCTTGCAAAATAAAATGCAGGATTATAATTATGCGAAGTTAATTACGTTTAGAAACGGTTCCAACGCTATACGAAAAAAATATATATATTTTTTCAAAATATATGAGAAGAAATGATGAAAATTAGAAAATCCTAGGTGGAAATGGTTATAAGAACAAGAAAGTTTTTCCCGTTTTTGGATCCCATACACTCGTTTTAATGGCTAATCTCACCTCCTTTCGCCTAAATTACCTCGATGCATATTCTCTCCATACTATCTACCAAATCATTCACAGTCTTTTGAGGAATTTTATCCCAGGAACGAAGGATAGCCTGACCAGGTCACTCTCACAGATTGGAACTGGCGCTCATTTTGGTAAACATATTTCTCGCCATGATGACCCTTAGGTTTTCAATGGGGTTGAGGTCAGGGCTGAGCGTTGGTCACGGCAACAGGATAATATTATACTCTTGGAACCACTTGTTTGCCGACTTTGAAGTGTGAATCGAAGCATTGTCTTGCTGGAAAACATACGATCCTCATATGGAAAACATATGATCCTCAGCCTATATACGCAGAGAGCGGCGAACTACCACTTCACCTACGCAGAGCACAACTCACGCTCGAACTAATAACCCGTGTCAAACAACTACCACAATACCCAACGTGGCACAGCGTTATGACCAACGATCAAGCTAACCTACCCTCATGTAAAATACCATCCTCTGAAGATCACGAAGCACTACTGGAAGCAGCAGTGAGCACAGATACCGCCGATACGAGTGGTCCCCGTAAACCTCAACAGGGCGTGGCAAATCCCCCCACGTGGCAAATCCCCATAGATTTCTTCTGCCCCGACCAGAACTACCCACAAAAACCTACAACACACCCGACAGCACTGAAAAACCGGTTCCAAAACCATATATCTTCGGAACATGCGGGATCGACGCACATCTACACGGATGGCTCCAAATCAGATGACGCTGTGGGATATGAGGCTGTGTCCGGCGCCGCAACGATATCAAGGAAACTCAATCCTAACTCACCGATCTTTACCGCAGAACTCCTCGGAGGGCTTAGCGTCCTGAACCTCGTGGAGGTTTAGGATCATTATCATTTCCTGAACCCCATCATTATAGATATCCTGACGAGGCTGATAGAGATAGCGACGGCGGGAATTACGGTGCGCGTCTGGGGGTGCTGAGCCACGTGGAGGTGCGTGGAAACGAGAAGGCGGACGAGACGGCAATCAGCGCGGCAACGTCAAACATGGCGATCTTCAATGAAGAAATCCCAAGCCGTGACTATTACCCCATAATCAGAGCAGGCATCCGTAGGGTGGGGCGAAATCAATGGCAGAATATTGAGGGAAATAAGTTACGAGCTCTGAAAGACAGCATACAAACCTGGAACTCGTCCTACCAGAAATCGCGGCGAATGTAAGTGGCCCTGTGTAGATTAAGGATCGGCCACACACGGCTCACCCACAGATACCTTATGGAACATTGCCCAATGCCTTACTGCAACGACTGTCTAGTCCCCCTGACAGTGATGCACGTGATAACAGAGTGCCCAAACTACACCGCCGACCGAAGGAACTGCTTCCCTGATACTGTGTTGCTGAACCCAGAGGAAACCCTTGTCAGGATTCTAAAGAAGACTCCCCGAACTAATTCTAGAACAGACAGCCTCAAGCAATATCTGACGCAATGCAACTTGCTCCGATAACTCTAGGCCTGCAGTACATCAACTTGGTGACTCACATACTAATCTCACGACCTAGTCGAATCCTCATGACATTGTGCCTTCACCGCTCAACTGAGCGATGGGAACCAACGAGCGGACATCTGCACTGGGACTACAAAACTGACCCCTAAATTTGGACTATACCATAGGGTTATATCCAGTTGCCCACTGATATAATAACCATGGATGGCAGTTATCACTTTTCTGAAAATTAGTAAATTCATTAGTAATTTCTGTGGTTACAGCGCTGTTTCGCAATAGGTACATTCAGCCATTTTAGTGCAAAACACCATAAATTTCACTTTGAATTAGTATAATCCTTCCTACGCTCCTTAAACTTTGATTTGTGGATAATTTGACTGACTTTAACAGGGTAGACTTAGTATCGTGGTAGTTTTGTTCTTTGGTAGTTTTGACAAATGATTTTTTAGCAAATTGCCTTAGACTAGGAAAGTTTTCCAATACATGGTTCGATTTCCATTAGGTATTTCGCTCGTAATGTTAGGTAATAGAACATTTTCTGAGCATTTAAAAGTTTCGAAAAATTTATGATTGACATTCAATATTCACTTTAGTCCTGTCCTGCAGTGACTACATAATCTTTCTATCGCAGAAATGGGTATAGCAGCCATCCTTACTTCTTGATTTGATCCACCAAAGAAAGAAATCACTTTCTGTCAACCTGATTAGAAAAGTTTTCTCTTGCTCAGTGTTTCTCTAGCGCTGAAGCAGAAGACATTGTATTTGCGTTCGTCAACTAAGCATCTCCCTGACAACAACATCTCCCTAGCAACAACGCTTCGTCTATGTAGCGCGATCGTAAAACTTCATAGTTGTTAGGTGGCAATCGAATATGAAAAATCATAGTTCTGACCACTAACTAGCATTATACGGATTTCAGTTACGATCTGCAAGTAATGTATAACTCGCTGTAGCTTGGCGCCTCATGTGGCATTGACCGTTATTTAGAATTTGGAGCGTAGTCATAGTGAAATTGTTGTAATATTTATTTTCCGTAAGTTTGAAGAGAAGATGTGCGCTCTGTAAACGGTTGTAACTACCTTGAATATAGAAATTCCTCATTAAGTTGCGACGGGCCGTTTTTTGGCCTTTAATGCCAGCCAAATAGGCCTTTTTCTCTTCGCTCCTTCTGACAACCATGTCAGGAACTTCCGTATATAGTCCCGAGACACAGCACACCAGCTAATTAAAGTTCTCACCGAAGCCGTGAGAGCGTCACAATTTTTGGCTGGGACCTGTGGTAACTAGGAAGATAATTTTCGAATGAGTGATGGGAATCGCCTAATTTGAAAGCATAGTGCAGCCATCTCGTAATTCATTGCATGTTCAAAGTGGATTCTCCCCTCTGCGAAGGCATTCAAGATAGTCGTGTTGTACAATCTGCTATAATGTTGACTGGGCGCAGTTGACCGGTAGGGGAAATGTTCTTTGCGCATGGAACCCTATTTATTATATTCTTAGAGCGTTTGAAGCCATCCTCCAGTGAACTGTCATTTTATTCACAAGGTATTAGGACGACATAATTTCGGAAAACTCTAGATTGATTAGTTATGGATCAGAATATATGGTTATATCTACACGTTATTTTTATCAAGAGCTGTGGTAACTAGCGTTAATGGCAAGGCAATGATGCGTTAAAAGATAATCCATTTGAAGAAGAGCAGCTGTGGTCTCAGACAGCGATTGCGCTGCTATAAAGGCGTACGAGGAGCCGCCTCAGCTCGTCACGCAGCCGCAACACCTGGCGGTAGCTGCGAACTGTAATACTTCGTGGTATAGTCTGTACTCAAGAGTGCTGAGCAAGTGAGAGGCGGCAGTTACCAGATCAGGCAGGATGTGAACTAGAGGCCATCTCGTGACTCTTGAATGCGGGCGAGGACACGCAGGTCTCCGTCTTGCTGGAATAGTTAGCTTGGAGCGCAGCTTGCTCAACTCTTTTTCCAGCTATAGTATTAAGTCCTGTGATAGTGGGGATTGGGAGGTGAAGGTTGTTAGCAGGAGCACGAGGCAGTGCTAGTAAGGTATAGACAAAAAACAGGCAGGGAACAAATTGAAATTAAGAAACATTGCTAGTTATCGACATTAGGTCAACGCTATTTTTACCTTGAGCCCGGACACTAGCTCTAATGGTAAGGCAAAGTTGCGTTTTCAGAACTTTCAAGTTGTTCCGGCAAAAGTGTGTTCTTCTCTTCGAAAATATGAGGCCGTGCGCACCGACAGTTTCCATATCTCCGACTCCAGAAACTGATTTTTCGCTCGCCAAGCGAAGATTCTGATTCTTTTTCAAATGAGAATTCGTCACCTGCTCCTGCAAGGCACCACAATGTTCCCATTGACTGTCGTCTACAGCAGTTGAGCTCTTATTGCTCCAAATATTTAAATGCCGAGCCCCGCATTTTCAGAATTAGAGTTGGCTTTTGCCATATTCTCGGGATTTTCGGTTTGAATTCAATGAATTAAGTTCATTATATGCAGACCTCGTCAGGTCTTAGCAGAATCTAGCCCCTTCCATTTGGACAACTCCACGTGATCCACAGAACGTCGCTATTGTTCCTTAGCACACATTTTAGCACGTCACCTACGCCTCTTTGATTCGAGTAGGATCGCGGTGTAGTTGGTCGTCGTGTAGCTGGGTTGACTCGTAGATCCTCCCCGATGACCGCGGTAGGGCCTTCCACGTCGCTGCTGCTGGCAATGCATTTAAGCCGTGGCCGTACTAATTGCGGCTGGCGTGAAATCTACCGCCGCCGACGCAAGTTCATTCTCCGGGTTAGTCCTGTTGACGTTGGCGTAGTTGCAACCAAACCACTGGAAATTATTGAGGAGCGGCTTTGGACAACACAAGTCCACTTCAAGAGTCTGGTGTGCATAGAATTCGCCACGGCTTTCAGCATCAAAAGATGAATGAAGTCTGTACAACATATGCCCTGAATGGGGCACCCATACCATTTATTTTTGCAACGTGTACATCTGCAACATTCCCGTACACTCGAAGTGTACCGCTATGTATAGCGGAAAGTTACCTCCTAACGGAGTGTGTAAATTATTCTCACATAGATAAGCCGCTTATCTGGTGGTTGCTATTCTGATGGCGTCCATGAACCAGCTAATTGGCGATGGCGGCGATGGCGGCCATGACTGCCAAGGCTGAGCTGCCCCAGGTTGGTATTGGAGCCCTCGCCAGTCGCGCCTGCCTCCGGTTGTTCAAGAAATATTGATCATCTAGTAGACTATGAGCTACGACCCTGATTACCGCAAGTTCACCACATCGTGCCGGCTATACGTACTCTATACGTATAGCCGGCTATACGGTCTCGAACTCTCAACTCACTGCTAAAATTCTGCTATGCTTAATGAAACAGTCACAATACACGTTGAAAATGAAGTGAAACGAAGATAAAATTGATATATTTTTTCTAAAATACAGAATATGAGCATAAATGGACAAAATAATATCAGTCATTGCATGCGGAAGAGCAATCGAACGACAAGGGAGCTGAGCTGCGGGCCAAATCCAGACTGCTTCTCAGAAAGGACGTTCATCCAAATCAACGAACAGTAATTATTATTAATTCTAAAGCCGTTTTATCCACCTGCTCACAAAGAGCACGTTTTCATCGAGCACCAACATTCCCAAATATAAGAATTTTTCTCACAGCAAAAGCGTAAGAGACTTAGCGTTCGTAGACCTCAATACATTTAGATTGCCCAACCACATTTCAACTTAAAACCTATAGGTTTTAAGTTGAATTTCAACTTAATCATTTCAACTTAAAACCTATAGGCCTTTCGTGCCGAAAGGCCTATAGGTTTTAAGGAGATAAAACTAGGAAGAAATATTGATGATCCTCTGACTGCGCGGTAATGTACGCCGTCGGTTGGAGACTTGACTGGCAATACATCCTAGGGGCGTAGGAGGAGTAGGATAACAAATATGAACAAATTAAAAAAAATTTCGCTATGTTTTGCTTCGAATGTGTTTATTGACCAGGATGAAATTTTCGGATATGTTTATTAAGGTTAAATTGATGGAAACTGACAAGTTTATGGCATATTGGACATTCTAATTTTTGTTTTTGTGAGCCAGGGTGCCCGCGACGTGACACGCGTACGTGTCGGACACCCTGACTACCGGGAACTGCAAGGCACTGCGACGCCCCCTCCTCCTCATCCCCCTCCTCCTCATCCCCCTCCTCCTCCACGACAAGCAGCGGGACCTGGAATAAAGAATTACCTCTGGGAAAAATTACTTTAAAAATTATGTCGTCTGAATGTAAAGCATTTCCCTAATTTTATCCAACCCTCTCTATCTGAATGATGCGTTGGTGAACTAATTGCAACACAAAGAATCTTGCTGACCAATAATCATATTTTAATAATGGAGGTGAGAGGTGGGCATAGCCACTCATTTCAGCAAGAAAAAAAGAAGAGTTGATGTAACTTACAGCTTGTTGCTGCAGCTCAGTTTCACGCTCCTGCAGAGCTTCCTCGAGTAGCCCGTGGCGCATCTGCCAGTAGTCGCGCTCTCTGCGAGCTGCCTCCACCTCAGCAGTGGCGCGGGCAAGAAGGGCGCTATGCCGCTGCTCCTGCAATGAATTAAGTTGCTAAGATATCTGGGAGATTAATAACCAAACCAAGCCAAAAACGTTCAAAACCTGCGCTTATGAAATTAAGCTAGACTGACTATCAGTTAGTGCAACCGTGTTACATACCACCACTACAGCAACATTCAATGTAACATGCAACATTCAATACCTGTTCATATGCGTACTCTTCGGCGTGCTCCTTTAAGCTGCGGCAATCCAGCAGGCGTTTTTTCCAGTCACGACCTTCTCGTAGAGTGGAAAAAAATTGGTTAGGGAATCTGCGACTTAACTGAAAACCTTTAATTTTTAGAGGTTGGGTGTAACATCCAAGACACGGGATTATTCAAAAGTAATTGAGTAATTTTTAAACTTCAAAATCTCTAATGCAACAAAAAAAAAAATGTGTACAACACGCGAGTACAGTTGGCGGATAATCACTTACTTTGCCGGGCAGCTTCCTTCTCCAGCAAGGCATTGGCACGCTGCAACTCTTCATTGGAGTTCTCGAGAGCGTTGACCCTCATGATGAGGCGCTCTCTCTCCTCCCACATCCTTTGCAACTCTGGACTCTGCAACACAGCCATTTATGAACTGAAGCACAGTCGTGGCATCTCTCGTGTAATCTTCTCATAAGCATCAAACACAATCTACCCATACATGTAAGTGAATGATATATTCCTAATATCACTTGACTATGATTAATTTTACCTAGAATTGTGAGGGAAAATTTTAGCCTATAAATGTGAGAGAACAATTTTACCTACACAGTATTCAAGAGAGAGAATGCTTTCATGCATTGGATGGAACATTTTCACCGCAACATGCGTGAAAATAAATTTCATCTAAACAACTAAGAAAAAATCGCCTATAAGTGTGGGCGTGATGCAAGTAAAAGAAGTTAATTTTTGTCAGAATTATTGATGAATTCGAACGGACAAACAAATAAAGAAGCTAGATCGAAAAGGATTAGAATAGAATAGAAGTGTCAGCGTTGAAGACATAGGCCCATGGCCTGTTGCCGATTCTTGAACTTTTCGTGACTTGATTCACAAGGGATCCGGCCTTTGGAACCCGATCTTTCCATAACTGNCAGTTCAGATTAGAAGAAATGTGGAAGGTTGACCTCGTCGGAATAAAAATTTACTATTCGCATACGAATTTACTATTTGATTTCGAATTTAATTTGAAGAATTACGGATTGTAACTGGTGAAATTCTCAAATAACTACTACTTAACTTACGACCGAGATCACTTTTCGACCAAGATCATGAGCAGGTTTACCACGAATAAGTTAGTCAAATCGTAATCGCTCAGGACCAAATTAAAATGGATATATATGTTGAAATTAAGTTAATTGGCCCACTAAACGCTCAGCCTTAGCAGGTTTCCCCACACATAAATTTTTCCAATTGCGACTGATCTAGAATTGATTAACAACGAAGCTATTTATTCACTGTACACTCCTGCTGTCGTTGTCTCGGAATTATTTTAGTTCCCTCCGTTGTCGCATACTACGTAACTCATGGATACTGCTTAACTAACTAGTACACGTGACGGCATAGATACACGTAGCGGCCTTAGTACACGTGACGGCCTTAGTACACGTGACGGCCTTAGTACACGTGACGGCCTTAGTACACGTGCGACACTACGCAAAAACCGTTACTGTCTTGAGACTACTGGAATGAGATTGTTGCCGGACAGTTTTTTTCTGTTCCTGCCTCTCACGCAGCTTGCTTGACACAAACTACGTCGACGTGTGTTATTGACAGAGCTGGGCAGCGCTACTTTGAAATGTAGCGGCCGCTACCGCTACATGCTCTAAATCAGTGGTTTCCAAACTATTTCAGGCTGGCGCCACCTTTGGCTCCCTAGTGAATTTCTAGCGCCCCTCACAGACATACGCCTCTTTCCTGAAATTTAGATAATGTGTATTTTACAAATAGCACCCCATTTAGTGAACCAATACGTTTTTCAGCTGTTTTAATTGTTTCAGCACTAGAAACCTTGGACGTCGCGGGCGAATTTACGGCCGGACTGGTGGCCGGTCTCACGACCAATATCTAAATTCAAGTATCATCAAGTAATATCTCCCAAATTAATGAACGCAGCTCGATGAAACTTGTTACACGTATCTATTAGGTCCTAACGGTGATGTTTAGCGCGTGAAATTTTTTTTCCAATTTTACCTTCATTTGTAAGTTATATGGCGATACTGGCCGAAATTAGCAGTGATCAAGGAATTTCTTCCAAACTACTGATCATATTTAAACGAAATTTAGAATATACAATGCTAACTACCAAAGGGTGATGTTCAGCTCGTAAAAATTCGCTCGATCCTGCCTTCGTTCGCTTTTTTTTTTGCATTTCACCTCCTTCATTCGGGATTTAAACAGCAAGACGTGCTTAAATTTCCCAAGAAATTTCTTCTAAATTACTGAAGATATTTGAACGAAACTTTGTTTCGCTCAAATGTACAAAAAGTACATTTGAACGTTGAATGTTTAGTTCAACAATATATGTATAATATAATAACAATAAAATATAACAATCAAGTACAAATGTACTTGATTGTTAAAAATGTACAAAAGAGCAAAAAAAAAGTCTAAGGGGTTAACATGGTCACTCTGACATGATCAACACTTTGGCGTGGTGCTTCGCTCATGTTTAAAATGCAAGGAAATTTTAAATCGATGTGAAGATCTCATTTGTATCAGCTGTTCAAAGTTGAGCTCTAAGGAGTACTCATTTCTCCAGAAATCTAAATTGCTTCATTGGTTTTGCCGTGATTGCGAAAAACCAACTCTTGGTGCTCGAAAAAGAGAGGAGTTGGTGGAAGAGCACGGCAATGAGTCGAAATTGTTGAATGATGTAGTAAACTCCTTGAGTGAGATGGTGCGCTCGCTGAGTGACAAAC